CACCGTTAAAAAGATACCCATGGTGAGCATGGTAAGTGGGACACACTGTATAAATTGTCCAATGATGGAAAAAGAAGGGCAAATTGTTCTAAATGCGATCCAGAAGACAGGCGGAAAAGAAGGTGAAATTTGTAACTTTATAGTGAAATATATTAATAAATAATGGTTTGTTCACATTTTCGTTATCAAATTCGTATTTTTCATACAAAAATACGCAAGTACCAGAAAAAAATTTAGAAAAAAAACCCATCCCATGATAAGTGCAAGATTACCGTATTTTCTTCTATGTACTACATGCACCATATTAGCTAGCAATAACGAACAGAGCACTGAGACTACACAACCATAGATCACTCACTCAAGCCCGTCCACACTCATCAAAATATGCAAATGTGACGTTACAATGAGCTGTGTGATGGCTGGGCAGTTATACTGTTGTTGTGAATCTAGATTCCTTTTTTCAGAAGCACATCCTTCAGTTTTTGAGCAAATGCTTCTTTTTATAAATAAGAAGCGAACCCCTCGAAGCATAACCTTTTCCTTCAATTATTCTTATTATTATTGAAGGAATTGCTTCATTTTCGAAAGTAAAAGGTGAGGCTTCTTTTATGAATATGGACTATTGTCATTTATTCAGGGGTGCCTTCGAATACGTACTCTGTGGAGTAGAGTTTACTCATTTGCGTCCGAAATTTTTTAGATCATGGCTATGTCAAGTCTGTGGTTTGACCGGGCACATACGTTCAGTAAGTCTGACCATCAGTCTGATCAACCAGCTGTTTGGGAATATCGGTCACGTTTCGAACCTGCCCACAAAGTTACCTCGCAAACTTTTGATGGGAGTCGAGTCGAACATTGACCATTCTGGTATCACCACTGTGGTCGAACGAGTGACTTTACTACTATAACTTTGTTAATCCTTGTCGGATTTTTGAGAAATTTAGATCAAATCGTAGATTCATGTTCCGGAATCTTAGTCTGAATATTAGTTTTTCTACAAGCGTGCGTGATTCACCCTATACCCGCACGCAATTTAGTTTGGGAAGTGTCATTTTCCCGCAACAGTGCGGGAAAATTTTTCCCACACTAGTGCGGGAAAAACAAAGATATGATAATATCGCAAAATATAAGTGGTAGGTGATGGAATATGAAAGTTTTAGTTTGTTTGTTGCAGTATTAAGTATGTATGTTCAGAATCATCCATCAAATTGTACCATTTATTGTGCAAATTAAGAAATATGGAAAAATAAAAATTGACTATTATAAAAATCCCCGTATCGATTTGGATAGATCTGATGGGAAACGATTATTGTTGTCATGCCAATCATTCCTCAAATGTGTTTGTAATTGTCGAAGTGACAGACACAGCATTACTGTCATTTTCGATTCAGTGCCAATTGCCACAATGTGATCAAAAACTTCCAGTTATAAGGATGCGATACAGATGCGTTATTGCCATAGAAATCTTAAAAAAGGTATGAGAAGCTATACACGCGTTTTATTGAATGGTACAACAATAAAGAAATGAAAATACCGAATGAAGAAAAAGTATTTTTGGCTCATTTCCTAGAAGTGTCTGAAACCTAGAGACCAAACACCTTATGGGCCTGCTGGCTTCCGCAATGAACCTACATAATGCGTCAAACTGTAAGTTCACAATAGCTATCACTAATAATCAGTCGATGGAGAATATATTTCTCTTGTTAGTTGTTCCTATTGCAGGAATAATTAATTTGTAGAAAAAATATTGTTCCTAACTCATGCGGAAAGTGTCTGTCCCGCACTCGACTGATTGCCTGAACTCCGCTTCGCGCCGTTCGTGTCAACGGCAGTCGCGTGCGGGAAAGAATCACTTTCCGCACTTGTTAGGAGAATTAGTATTTCCTGAAAAGCTGATGACATGATCATTATACAGGGAAAAACCAAAGTTACTCTTTCATCCTATACTTCTCAACGCCCTGTGGCAATCCTCCCGATTGATTGCATGAATCCAATTTTCTGGCATTATTTTAGAAATTTCAGATGTATTTCTATTAGCTTCTATCGCAGAAAGAATTCCGATGAGAAATCAGAGAAATTACCAAATTTCAAAAATGAAAACTATATGTGAGTGACTATAGTAAGTACTTACTTTTAAATCATATTGTACCAACCGGATTACTTCGTCTTCCGCTGCAGTTTTTGTGCATTTCACAACAGCCTAATGTGATGGCATGAGCGAATTGATGAATAGCGGAAAAATACGATTCGTATGCCAAAATAATTGTGAAAAACTATTTCAATCACTTGTAAACAAATAAGTAAAGTGACGTTTGTGTTTCAATATTTTGCCTCCAGTGTCGGTCATCGTGCACACGACCTATTTCATTTCAGTTTCAGTGATCTATCAGTGTCATATTATAGTTTTTATTGAGTGACAAAGTCAATTACAAATGGTGACAAGACCAAGTGACAGACGAATTACCTAATGAGAATGTCCGTCCGAAGTGTATGACGCGGTGTGACGCACCTTGTATTCGTCCAATGAAATGCGATCAATATTTCGCGCGCATTCGTGCTATCGTTTGAATTTAGGTTCGATTTATTAATTTTTTTCTGGGTCAACCGCAATCGTAAGAAAATTGAAAAAATGCTGAATTCACCCAGTATGTGTTCTAAATCGTGAAAAAAAATGTCAAAAAATCATGGTGAAATACCCTATTCAACCGCAGTGGCATCGAATTGATCACCACGCTTATTGACTCACACAAAACAATTCGGTGCATTCGAGGTACCTACTTGATAGATTGATTTCCGTGACCGGACGTACTGGTGCGAGTAATATCCTACGTTTTTGTGAGTTTGTGAGTGATTATAGCCATGGCTAAATGAAAATATTTGAATGGCAAAGAAATACAAGACATTTTGGAGAATACCGACGATGACGAATGGGCTGATGTTAGTGATGAAGACTATGAAGAATTCATTCAATTCTTGCTCATATGTACGATTTTCTATTTACTATAAGCTCTCATCCGTCGCAAATCGCAAACATCAATCGCTCATCCATCCAGCCGTTACCACCGATACAACAAGGCCAGCAGACTCTGACGTAAACAGCTCGTGACGTCACCAAGAGAGGCCAGTGTTTTATTTTATCGCTTGTCGACTAACGCGTCAGTTCGTGTTAATTCATCGGTGATTCACGTATGTTTTTGAAACGGTCCCGGATTCTTTTGTTGTTTATTCATCAAAATAATTGGCGGAAAAATTACTGTTTTGTGAAATATTTTGTGTTGTGTTCCCTTTTGTCGGGGGAATTATGTGGGTGGTTCAAAAGTTCATGCTTTTAGTTTCCCGTTGGACGAGGAGCTATCGAAAATGTGGGTATATGCAATTCACCGCGAGGATTTTACTCCATCTAAGTTCAGTAGTAAACAGAGCTTAATTTATAATGATGAATTAATAATAGAAGACAATTACTCTCTCATAAAAAGTATAAGTAGAGGAAAAATAGAAAAGCTTTGATTGTGCAGTTAGTTTTGTATTCGTATATTATAGTCAACAAAATCATCTCTGAATTCGAGGAAATTTTCTTTAATGTTCATAATAAACGGGCATTTTTAATTCTCATTCTCAAATTTCTTTCTGAAAACGGTCATTTGCCTCGTGGCAATGAATGCAGAATTCATTCCAATGATCAAATTGCAACTATCATATTAACATGAACTACAAACACTCTCCTTAAAAAGGTAAAACTGCATTTATCATGATATTTATCATGAAGATATTTGACTGAAATGTTCCAAATTTCACCTTCTTTTTCACCTGTCTTCTGGATGGCATTTAGAACAAATTTCCCTTCTTGTTTCATCATATTGGACAATTTATATATAATTCAACTATAAATATGATTTTCTTGAGATTAATCCATATTTAGTGAAAAGAAGGAAGAATATCATTCGAAATAATGGCGTGTGTAATGTCATTCGAAAGCAATCTATTGACATTTGACATCTCGTATTTTGATTGACTATTGATTAAATGGTCGTCATCTGGAATGCTTGTTCACTAAATATGAAAAACTCGCCATAAAAATCATATTTCCTGTTGAATTTTCTATATAAAAATGTGCCATCGAAGTACATCATGAGTATATAAAGTGTCCAATGATAAAATAAGAGCAAGTAGCTTCAAATGCCCCCCAACACAAGGGGAGAAAGAAGGCGAAATTTCGAACTTTTTCTTGAAATATCTCAATAAATAGTGGTTTGTTCACATTTTCATTATAAAATTCGGTTTATCAGACAAAAATACGTGAGTACCGAAAAAAATTTTCAAAAAAAAACCATCGCATGATAAATGCAGTTTTACCCTTAAAAATTACGGTTTCAAGTGTAACGATCCACTTGGGTGAAAAATCCAACAACAGAAAATTGAAAACACTCACTGGTTATTTTTTCAGGTAATAGGAATTCTCCAAGATAAATATAGGTAATTGTAACAAACGGCATGTCAATCAAAATAAAATACATTTTCCACAATTTTCTTTCGATCAATCTCACGATAAGTTTATGTTCTGCGGGCCCTGTATAAGTAGGTGTGAAGTTTACCTTCACCACAATTTTTGCCAATATATTTAATTCGAATGGGTTGCTGTAGGTGGATATTTGTGTTTTATCCTGGTTTTTGCTTTAAAACTTCGTTTTTCCATAATAAAATCGAATGGGGTGCGAAGAAGGGCTCAGTTGACGACTGGCATCCTTTTTTAACCGGAAGCCCTTCAAAAAACAGCAAAATCGGCTCAATGATGATCTAAAACTAAAATCGAAATACGCGGTCGCCTTATAGCGCTATAAGCGCTTGTCGTTTCGAGCCTCTGGTTAGGCCTCACTAAGTGACGTCACCCACGGAGCATGCAGGCCTTGTTGTATCGGTGGTAACGATCCAGCCCACTACCCACTCACCTGAGCGCTCCCGATGGGCGTGCTCGAGTGCTCCACGTTGCTCAGCCTGCCCACCGTGCACATGCACACCGCCGGCAGACTGAACTCGCGCTTCGACGGCATCGCCACCACCACGTGATCGTTGGGCGCCTTGCGCACGATGGTGGCGTACGCGCCGGCCGCGTGTATCAGCATGCCGCCCACGCCGGGGTACTTCTCCACGCAGTGCACCTGCGTGCCGATGGGCAGGGCGCCAAGCGGGTAGGCGTCGCCCTCGTTCGGCCTCACTGCAAAGCAATGGATGGATCAATCAGGCGAACTGTGCTTTTGAAGATTATTATACGACGCTATACATAGTGGAGTATACTACGGCCTTGCCAAAAATGCTATCTCGGAAACTAAGCGAGATAGAGGTATAGTTACTTTGGAGAAAATGATCCCCATCGAATTTTGAGCAACTTTGGTTTTTGTGTGTGGTCTGTCTGTACTCTGTGTTAATCATAAATCGATATATCTCCGGAACCCTTTGACATATCGACTTGAAATTTTGCCATCTTATTGTACTCAAAACAATATTATGTCATTAAAATATGAAGGAAATCGGAAAACTCTAAGGTGGTTTTTCCGGGTTTTTTCGATTTTTCACCGGAAGTTTCTTGTAACCACTCTACAAATCGCAAAAGTGGTCCGATCGATTTCATTTTTTGTGAAAGAACACTCTATCAGGGAGAGACGAAGCCTATTGAAATTGAGCAGGGTCAGAAAATTCCAAGTGGATTTTTCAAGGAGATTTTCCTAAATACACGGTTCGCTTTAAAACGACATATCTCCTGAACCAATAGACTAAATCCAAATTAGAAAAATGCACCGTATGCCTCTTTGATGACGCAACAAATTATTATTCAACCATTTTTTTGTGCATCCATCGAAAATTGGAAAAACAAATGAAAATCAAAACATCAAAATTTGAAATCCTTTCAATTCGATATATATCGAAAACAAATGGAAAAATCGAAAATTATCAGGAGTGCAAAGTTATCCACTGGGACATTTCCTACAAATTATTCTCCATAACTCTTTCTGTAAACCCAATAGTACAGGAAATAAAGTGAAAAATATGAAAAAAAAAATTTTAACGACCCATAGGGTACTATGAAGATATATTGAAAAACATAGATTATCGATAGATGAAGCTCATCGACTTCCACTGAACCATGAAATATCATTTCATTTTGTTGATTGGAAGATGGAACAAAAATGTTGAAAATTTTATTCTCAGATAATTCCAAATATCTCGAAAACAACTGAAAATATCTGAAAATGTTATGAAACAAAATTATTCCTTTCTCTGAACTTTCATAGCGTCGTATAAACATCATTGGTGCCCAATGATAGTTTCAATATAAAAATATGCTCATGATATGGTGCCATGGCCTCAACTTCCATCTCACATGAGCAATGATAAAATATCATCTGCTTTTATAACGTCGTATAAATTATCTGACCTTTATACTAATCTGATACCTTTCAAAAACTACGTACCTCACTTGTTAATGACTGGTTCGCTTCATACCTCACTGGTAGAAAACAATTTGTGAAAATTGATGGGGTGAAATCCTCTTTATTGAATATACATTGTGGGGTACCTCAAGGGTCAGTATTGGGTCCGGTATTGTTTCTCCTTTATATAAATGATATTTCTAGTCTTCCTATACAAGGAAAATTCACTATATTTGCCGACGATACCACCATTTTATGGCACAGTAGAAATGTAAATGAATTGAAGGCAGCGATCACCAGAGATTTGAAAATAGTTAAACTTTGGAGCGACTCAAATCACTTATGTTTTAACGCTAACAAAACCAATATTCTTACCATTAGATTCGATTTTGACGACTTACAACTAGAGAATCAGAATATAGAAAATAAACCACACTGTAAATAAAGAGCACGTAAAAAACCTCAATAGAAAGCTATCTTCTAGCTGTTATGCTATCCGAGTTATTTCTAATGAGCTTGGGCCATCTTCAGCGAAAATGGCATATTTCTCTTTATTCGAATCGTATATTACGTACGGTATTGCTTACTGGGGTTTTTGCACAGATCAATTATTGAACTCAGTGTTCGTTCTACAAAAGAGAGCTGTTCGGTACCTATGTAAGGCTGCAAATCGGGCATACTGTAAACAACTCTTCATCCTACATAAAATTCAGACAGCGTACAATATCTTTATCATAGAGTCTGCGTGCCTTATTCACAAAAAGTACGGGTCGAGTATCTCAGCTCCAGAAATTGTTCATAACACCAGACAGAAAAACAATCTACAATTACCCATTCCTTTGAATACATTGACAAAAAATTCGCTTATATATGAAAGCAAAAAAATTTACGATCATCTTTCACAAGAGATCTTAAAGCCTTTAGGCATAAGCTGAAGGAACAATTGGAAATAAAAGCGTACTATAGTGTTTCAGAATATTACAATGATACCTTCTGATATGTTATATATTTTCATTAGGCATGTGGAAACTATTATAGTATTATGTTCATGTTTTTGTTGATGTAGTTTGTCAAATATCGTCTGTTTGTTCGTTTTCATATATATATATATATATATATATATATATAAACCTACAATCTTTTACTTCATACTCTGGCTCTGTGTTCATACACACTATCTTTCTTCTTCTTTACTCTGTCTGTGGTCCATACCACACTATCGAGGTGCACTCGGGGCACGTAGGTGTAGTAACAGAGATATCTGTACTCCTACGTCGCTGCCCGAAAAGCACGTTTCTGTCTAGTGCTAGTAGGTGGCACTGTACCAAACATCCGTATTCCGCACTGTTTAAGACTACCTGTTGGTCTTCAAATAGTGACCGGTCCGTGAGTGGATTGTCGATTGGCCTAGTGCAACTGATGATGCTTGGCGAGCTGAAACAGACTGTCTTGCACCAATTGACATTCCACTCACGGAACGGATTAAACCTACAATCTTTTACTTTATATATATATATATATATATAGTGACGAGATAATATATTACAATATAATATATTATGTTTATTTTTCACATTAATGTTATTATCATCAATGTTATTATAAGTATTACCATTCTATATGACGAATTATGAATATCATTATGAATAATTATTGTTAAATTGTAACCTGCTTTGTCAATGAGTTGACACTTTGGACAATGAAGCTTATTTGATTGATTGATTGATTGAAGCGAGGATTGAAGATAACAAAGCTCTGAAGGGCCCAGAACCCTTCTGTGGTATTGCGAAAGCTATACAAAAGAATAGTATTAAATCATAGATGCAAACCAAATCTCAAGAATGGTGGAACATCTCGCCAGGTATGAGACAGGCAAAAGAGTTTATTAAAAAACCATCTCCAATATTCACAGAATATCTCCTGAGCCAGAAACGAAGTTCAACTAGAATACTAGTGGAAACGCAGTGACATTTTGGGGCGAATCATCTGATTTGTCCCACTACAAATATATTGAAATAATACGCATATTTTTATTTTGTAGAAACGTGAAAATCCAAAAAAATCTAATAAAATTAATGTTCCACCTCCTCGATTAACCTACAGACAATATTTGTGCTTTTGAAGATTTGATAGTTTTTTTTGTATTGAATAGGCTCTGAAACTACTGGATCGATTCGGCTAAAAATTGGTGGGGAGATAGCTCAGAACCAGAAGAAGGTTATAGGATACTTTTTATCCCGGTACCATTAGTAAATTCAAGATGACGGATCTAATATATCGGACGAGTGTTGTAATTATGGCCAGATTCTATTCAAAATTGGTATCTGGAGGTTTTCGGGGTCGGAGATTAGGATTCTTTCGTCAGAATTTGAAAATTCGAGCGGAATTTGGAAATTCAAGATGGCGGAACCAATATGGCGGACAACTTTTGTAATTATAATCCGATTCTTTCCAAAATTGGTACCTAGGGGTTTTCGTGATCGGGGATTATGATTTCTTCGACAAAATAAAGACATTCAAAATGGCGGATCCAAAATGGCGGATTTTGTAATTAGGTTCCGATTTTGTTTAAATTTGGTATTTGGTGGTTCTCGGGGTCGGAGATTATGATTCTTTCGTCAAAATTAGTGAATTCAAGATTTCAGACCCGATATGGCGGACTAGTATTGTAATGGGGAAGACCACTGAGGAAAGAAATCCGTGCAAACCTCTTTCAATCGACGAATCATGATTCACATTTCATGTACAATCAATATTATGAGTTGAAGCTGAAGGGAATCGAATTTATATCGTTTTGAAATCAGCATATTTCATTCGATATTTCAAACAGCCAAATATGATAGTGGAGTTGTGACGTATTAGTCCCGAACTGTAGCTATCTCTCTCTGATACCTCGTCATTCTGCAGTGTTGCAGTGTGATTGGTCAGTTCAAGGACGATAGGCGTGTTGGGAATAAGACGTCGCACCAGTCACACCAATGAATTGATGAAATTTCAAATGGCGCAGGAAATGTGTGTTTTGAAATGGATACATACTAATTTATTTGTTTCATCGTCTTAGCATGAATGAAAAAATTCGAAATTAATTCACTGGTAGTTTTTCAGTATAGAGTTCACAATAATGTCATTTTAAAAAATCAGTGGTCTCCCCCATTATGTGAAGTCTATGCAGTCAGAAACCGAACTGGTTGATTATTCATATTCAATAGCATATGCAAATTCTGCTAAAGATACCTCGGAAGATACACAATATAGACATTCAGATATGACTCAACAGATTTTTTTTATACTCAGGAGTATATGAAAATATATTTGCTTCGAACTTCCCTAATTTTTCAGTCCAGGCTAATGTTGCTATCAGATTGAAGGAAGAAATAACAAGTTCAGCTCTGCTGATACATCCTTGTGAAAAATTTAAAACCTCATCGATTTTACAAACAGTATACTTAATTTAGTTGCAACAATTGAAAGCTTAAATTCTCCAGGATCTTTAACGAATCATCAGTTTTTACAAACTCTTATTGAGAAATTGCCACCAAGTTTGAGACTGCAGTGGGGGACACAGAGAAAACTAAATGAAACTCCAGTCAGTCTGAAAGAATTTTCAGTATGGTTAGAAGATGTAGCTGAAAGCGCAAGTTTTGTAACAAAGCCAATGAATCCAAACACTACTAAGAATAAACACTTTCTTCATATGGACAGAGGTACAACTTTTTCTACCACAGAAAAATTGCGACAAGAGTGTATTTACTGCAATAAGAAAAACAGTAATCATTCAATCAA